AAGTCACCAACTCACCCTCTCTCTCTCTCTATCTCTCTCTCACACACACACACACACACACTTGCAGGGAAGCGGACGATATGGCACAGGGCCCTATGGAAATGCAGATCTGTGGTGCCTCAGGGCTGCGGGGGCATTGCAGAAAGATGGCTGCCCGTCATGAGGGCATATGGCACAGGGCCCGACCGTTAGTCCAAGGAGGGCGTCCTCGAAACTTTCGGTCACTACCGACAAGGGCCTGCCAAAAATATTTTTTGGCCCAGGGGCGCGACAGGGTAAATTGGCCGTCGGAGGGGCGCGACACGAAATAACGCAAATTAAAGGGGCGCCAGACAAATTTTCCCTCTTTTTTTAAACTCGTTTCGTAGCGGAGCGCCGTTGAATGGACGACAGAAGGGAAAGTGGGATAGGGTCGGGTCCGGGTTTCGAATCTTTTTTTTGGGTTTCAAACTTGGGTCTATCTAGAATCTCTAGAATCGAATCGAAGTTGAGTCTCTCTTTTCTTCTTATAAATCTATGTGTATTATATATAATATAACAATAGATTTTGAATTAAGAACTTTGGATTCCAGCTTGCATTTATGCGGGTGGGTATGGGTGCGTATACTTGGGGGGAAGTAGGTATGTACATATGGGGTTAAGTAGTAGCGGAGCCCCCTCGACTCCACGACAGAAGGGAAAGTGGGATAGGTTCGGGTTTCCAATCTTTTGTTCCGGTTTTGAAGTTGGGTCTATCTAGAGTTCTCTAAAAAAAATAAAAAAAAAATAAAAAATTAAATTAAAATTTTAAAAAAAAATCTCTAGAATCGAATCGAACTTGGGTCTATATTATTAATTAAAATATAAAATAAATCTATATCTGGGTGAAGTTCGTAGTGAAGCGTTGTCGTCGTCGACGACTCAATTGTGACCTCGGTAAATAGGACGGGACTGGGTAAGTGGGAAAATGCGATGGGATTTTACCCGTGCAGTTAGTCTGTTTTTTTGCGTGGCGGTTCGGGATGAGGGTTTTTGTTTTTACTGTAGTCAATAGTCGTTGAGAGTTGACGACATGATTAACGGTATGACTGTTTTTTGTGTTGCGCTTCTGTTTTTTTGGAGACATGCGCATTGGTTTGTATACTGCAAAAGCACAAGCAAAATTGCCCGAAAAGGCAAGTCTTCCTTATCAAGTAACACAAACATCAGGTGCTTCATCAAATCGTCATGCCAGTGGGGCCCCATTTCGCTTGCCTATTCCCCTGGGCTACAATAAGGTCCCTCCCTAACACCTCATATCTAAACTAAGTACGCCCTTCCACATCCCGCTACCCACAATGCAAAGATGGACCAAAACAAATTCTTAGTCATTTACGTCGCTTCCAACACCCAAAACACCTCAAAAATTTTCATCGCCGCTACAACTCCTCTGCCCTGGCTGCGCCACAGCACCTCACGTGGTCTACAGTCTAGCACCTTTTTTGCACGATGCAGGCGTATTGCTTCTACGATGTTGTTCAGTTCGTAGCCCGTCAGGGTTGTGTTTTATGCCCCTGATAACATTTTTCGTCGTCGTTCGTTATACGGTCGTTGGAAGGCTGGAAAAACAAGGCATGGCAGTTTAGGGGGTGGTGGCATCTTATTTGAAACTGCAGGACCGGTAGTTGTCCGTGAGACCGCACGGGTTTTGGTTGAAAAATTGAAAAGGGGCCAAATCAGCGGCCGGCGCACCCGTTGCCTCACTTTTGAACCCATTCCCTCTCGGTAAATCAAATGTCTCTCTTCTTCTTCCCTCTATTTTTAGTTCAGTGCATCCGACCCTCACCCTGACCAGATGCATGCGCTATTTTTACGATCACGACATCAACTACAACTAGCGACCTCGATCCCGAATGGGCAACGACTACAAACATGAACAAGTTCGTAGCCCATCACGGTTCAGTTTTCCCTCCCTGAGACATTTCAACGTTAATCAAATTTCAACGTCGGTGGTCGTCGGGAGGGTGGGCATTTTGAGGTTTTGGGCCATTGCAAGGGCCAGGACCACGTAGGACCGGTAATTGCCTGTAGGAGGCCGAGGAAGCCACAATCGAAATTGAAACGGTGCATGTCCACTTTTCTCCAATAGCGGAGTTCTTGAATAGAAAACGTACACGTTGTATTCGAATACAATGTGTACCCTTTCTATTCGGATTTCAAAAAAAAAAAACTCTTGTATTCCATTAAAATTACTTATTTTTTTCTTTTTGGAGGTCAGCGTCTGCCCTTGTGCTCCCTGCCACTGACATGTTGCAGGTCTCTCTCTCTCTCTCTCTCTCTCTCTCTCTCTCTCACACACACACACACACACACACACACACACACACACACACACACACACACACA